AACTTCTCCATTTTCGTTATTATTATTTTTTTTTTTTGCTGTCATTATAAAATTCCAGAAATGTTAAAGGCCTATGTGTTTCTTTTATATTGCGCTAGCTTAAAAAAATTCATGCTTTTAGAAGTGAAAAATATTTGAAGTTCCGAGAAAAAGAGAAATACATTTGTATGAAGGAAAAAAGATTTGAGGGAAAAATATTTACATTGATGAAAATATGGAAAATGCAAAACTTTGTTTCCTGTTTTTGACAGAATAACACATTTCATCGACTGGGAGATCTTTCATTGTGTTTAGTGCATTAAGTTGGGTAATTTTTTAAATCATTGTTAGAAAATATTGAAAGCAAAGAAGCAAGTGAATTCAGAAATTATTCCCACGAAACTGTGGTAAAAAAATCATCCCCCATATTTGCAGCAAATGCATTTCTCTACATGAGATTCATTTTAATACGAGATTTACGGAATTTCTTTAACACTTCCAAAGTATCAGGAATTTTATAATTAAAGATTTGATGTACAATTTGAGTTTAGACTATTAATAAAAAAAAAGAGCTGCTTTAAAAATATATTAAAAAAAAATTAAAATTTAAAATTATATTAACATAAATAAAAATAATTTTCATGAGACAAAAATTAATCAATAAATACACTTGGCGACATTGAAAATGCAACACCAAGAAGACGAGAAAATTATGTGAATTTTTAGGTTAAAATTAACTGCTTCAAAGCTCTCCATGTCCGGTGAGTTTAGAGGAATATATGCAGGGGCCAAGGTATTCGTGTTATTATATTTCTTGTCTCAAAGAACACGTGTAAATAACAAAGATTGCTAGACCACCACCAATGGAGCCGTTACAGAAGGCAGCTGACTTTACCAGAGATCATGAGGGTAGGTTTGGGGCTGGGAAACAGGATGATTTCGCGCAAAATCTTGGCTGGCACCCACACTGGCATCAGTTGGCAGGAACAGATGGAACAAAGAAATGTGACACATTTGAGAAGTGCTAGCGTGGTCGAAGAAACTGTGAGGCACCTACACTTGGGTGCCCCATTTCTACATTATCTACGCGACTTGTATCTGTAGGAAGAGCGAGAAGAATCACCCAAAGCTGTCATCATATTTGTTTATTAAGGATCTCAGCAATCAATATATACAATATATTAATAATCAATTCAAGCGAATCTGGGTGAGAGACACAATTCGTATTACCAAATAATCACGTAATTGACCACTATATCCTAACTTTACAGATTACCTCTATTCTCATTAATACACACCAGTTTCCTTATATCTTGAATTTAAGACGCAGCTTACCATATATCCTAGGTAACAGCTATTCTCTTGGTTTTATGACGTGGCTTTACTCCTTGTAGAATGGTATCACTCGCTTTAGCTGGAATATGCAGATAATAGGGTAGGTTAATTTACCACAGACTTGGAGATTTCCTCTAGCTGAAAGCATAAAAGCTTCTAATCATAAACATAGACCTCATATAGCAACACCACGCGGCCACCCAGCGAACGCTAAGCTTCTACTGTATATAAGATTCCTAATTTGCATTCTCACATTCTTCTTCTCGAGTTGGTTGGAAAGAATTGCCGTTCTGGCCCCAAAGAACCCCAAGAGGACATCAATGGAAATCGCGATGAAAGCCCGTTACAAAACGTCCGGACGTTGGATTGAAGCATCCATTGATAAGTGGTGGTGACCTTACAAACCAATCTTTTTGTAGCATGTGTAGAACACTCCTGATATTCCCTCATCGACCAGAACCATTGACAGCTAATTGGTTGCTTATTACTTGTACTCATGGCGTTCGTTATGAAGAAAAAAAAAATTATCTTCTTTTTCAGACCTTTTTTTGCATATAATATTTCCTCAGTTTTTAATTTTTCAAAATTAAACTATCTACAAACGTTGTGATTGAGTAATATCTAAATCAAATAAAAATAAATAAGGGGATTAGAATGAAGATTTTTAGAAAATTTTATATAATCAGATAGCTTGGCTAAGTAAGAGACAAACTCCAGAAATATAGATTCAAACATTACTAAAAAATCGTGAAAATACCTTAACTACGAGGTATTTCTTTATAAAAAACGTTGTTAAATACTGTAAGGAAAATATCCTCTTCTCACAGAAAAATAATAAAAAACTTTAGGTTACTTAAAGAATTAGTTCATTGTCTTAATTATGAGTTGCTTCCCGCTGCTCAGTAATAATTAGTTCGAAAGAAAGTTTCTCGAGCTATGCATTATTTAGAAGTTCATCTGAATAATCAGAGGAGTTAAATGAATCTTGGGCTGCCAGAAATATTAAAAAGCAATTTACTCTGTGGAAAACAAATACGAAGGCTGCTTATCCTATATGAGATTACCTCTAACTAATAACTAAGACTAGAACATCTCGTTTAAGCGTTAGGTCCCGAAAGGCATTCATCCTTGTAATTGAGTTAACGCCTCGGCGTAGGCTGCCAATAAAACGCACCATAAGGAAGGTTTATTTTTGGAAAATGAGAAAGGTCGAGTAATAGAATTTGGCCTGTAATTTAGTCGTGAATTATGGGGTTTGCTTTCTGTAATTGTTTTGGGAATCGGAGAAGCAAAAAAGGAAAAACTTTAAGTGGTTGAAGAGGAGATATCGAACATGTTTTCAGATTACACAGTTCAGTATAAAATCTTCCCCAACACCCTTCCTACGAATTCTTAAGTAAAATGACCTCTTGAATCTAAATTTAACCCCCTTTTTGTACCCCTTCATTTTCTCTTTTTCAATTCCTATTATCAGTTGACTCTCTCCCCCCAGTCCCGACAGACGTTGTCCTGTACACACGTCTTAAATCTGAAAATTACAAACTTTTTTTGATAAGTTGTAACAATATGGACCGTTTTGATGAAATTTTTTTATAAAGAAAGTTATTACAATACCTGACATCGTCACATGCACAATTACCACAATTCGACCTATCGATTGCGTGTGAGTATGTATTTATTATAAACTAAGTTGAATATAGAACCTATATTCTGAATAGAAACTTAAACTTGTTTTGATTAAAGGGTAAAAAAGATAAGACTCGAGCTTTTTTCATAACAGGTATATTTTTTTAATGTACAAAAAAAATTTATCGTAATGCTATTGAATATTCAATGTTTTGGGTTAATCCTTGAGGGGTATAAGCAAACAAATGCGATGGTTTGCCAAACCTTGGACATGTAACATATAATTGGCCGTGCGAAAAGCAAGGGTTTTCTAAATCTAAGCTACAAATTGTCATTGCTTGACCTTGTGACTTATTAATGGTCATAGCAAATACCAAGTGAATTGGAAATTGCAAACCCTTGAATAGGTAGGTGAGTCTGAAAGAATCATTGGGATCTGTTGTAGAAGTACAACCTCACCTTGAAGTTTGCCACTCAAAATAGTGACCTCAAGAATATTGCCCAAGATGTTTTTACGAACAATCGAGTGCCCTTACATAATTTTGGCGTATATTTAAATAAATGCGGTATCAAACCTAATTGTGAATCTAAATCATTCTCGAATCCAATTGAGCCCATACAAAAAAAATATCATCCAAATTGGTCCAGCTGCTTAGGAGGAGTTCAGTCACATACACACGCACAGAAGAATTACATATATAAAGATTATTTGAAAAGATATTTAAAAACGTTAAAAAGCATGATTCCTCTGCATTTTTGTAACAATAAAGACCCGGTTTGGCCAGTTTGCCTGAAAATCGATTTTCGACGCCAACTTACGTCATTTTTATAACAATAACGTTGTTACAACAATGCAGGTGAATATTGAGTTGAATGTTTTTAATGTTTTTAATGAATATCTTTTTAACTAATTGCGATATCGGACCGAATTGTGAATCTAAACCATTCTCAAATCCACTGGAACAGACACAAAATATTTCATAAAATTCCGTCCAGCCGTTTAGAAGGAGTTTAGTCCAGTGCTTCTCAAACTTTCAATGTACGCGACCCACTATCTCATCATCATTTTCATCGCGCCCCCCTCCATACAATATTAATGTATTGAATTCAATAATGCTAACACTTAGACATTAAGGCTACAATACGACTTTAACCTCTTATGGGACACTGACGCATATAAATGTCTCCTCAGTCCAAGCATTGAATTTCTGGACGTATATATGCGTCTTTCCGAAGTACGATCTTTACTGTGAAATGCTACCCATAAAATTATTCCGAGGCTTTGGAATGCAATAACAGGATCTTGATAGTGTTTGCGAACGATTTACTTATTTCAAAGGATTTACTTAAATTTATTCTTTTTCCCACCCCCCGCCCAATACACCACATACGCTTCCTACTGTTAAATGGGGGGCATTTGGGGAGCGAATCGCGTCGTTTTTAATCGGCATTTAAGGGCTTAATTATAAACAGTACATATTATCAAGATAATTGTTAATTTTTGCATATAATTCTATATATGATAAGCCCATGGGTCACTCACAATTATTAAACTTGTCCTTAACTTAGTACTGTTAAATTAATTATACAATACATTGCGCAGTAATGATATATTTATAAGTGTATTATATCAGTGTAAATGTGTATTTTATTTTTTATTATGACGAAATGTGTTTTATTTGTTTTCCTTCAGTAAATTAATTATTTTTACATTTTTTTGTTTTCGACTTTTCAATAGGCTCGCGCCCCCCTCATAGGAATATCACGCCCTACTAGGGGGCGCGTCCACAGTTTGAGAAACACTGGTTTAGTCACATACACACGCAGAGAAGATTTTTATATATAAAGATATATCTTGTTCAAATTTTCAATCGTTAATAAAATACTTTCTATTAATCTATTTAAATTCAAATACATTTTTTAAACTAGTAGTGGAAGTCACTTGATGTCAATACACAGTTTTTTTTTAAATATTAATTCATTAATTAAATCATAAAATGAATAAATACTAACAAAAATAAAAGTCCAACAGCATATATAGAAAGGAAAAAGTTCGTTGTGTCCCTGCAGCGCAATAGTTAGCGCGTTGGATTTCTAATCCAAGGGTCGTGGGTTCGAAACTCACCTGGGATGGCCTAATTTCTGAGAATGTGATTTCTTTTTACTATACTATTTTATTAGAATAATTAAATTTAAGGAATGAATAAATAGTAACAAAAAAAAAATAGTCCAACACCATAGAAAGAAAAGAAAATGGAACATTGCAAGGAAAATCGCTTTCTATTTTGTCCCTTAATATTGTGATTCTGTCATATGCATATACATATTAAAATTAATTGTGCCTATTTGATAAAAAGTACCGTAAAATCCGGCGTATAACACGCACTTTTAATACAAAAAATAATACCGAAATTTACGGGTGCGTGTTATACGCCGGACATAAAAATAATAGCTTAAAGAAAAGATGGGCATGAAAAAAATTCTGGAAGTACTGTTTATTTAAAAAAATGATGTTCTTTATGAACTTAAAGAGTTGCAGTTCAAGAAATATACTATTTTTCAAAAGATTAGCTTAATACCTCGAATAAATGACTTTAAAATTTAATAGAATTAATGCACATTTCAAGTTTCTTCGTAAAAATGAGGGTGAGCATTATACAACGAATACACCCAAAAGTTAACAAATGCAGTTTGAAAGTATAGGTGTGCGTTATACATCGGATTTTACGGTAACTAAAATAAAATTTTTCTTTGTTGACCTAAGAGGGAATTGACTTAAATTTTTTTTTACTTGTTTTTATTACTGTTTCCCAATTTTATGGCCATGGATTTGATAAAGAAATAGGGAAATCAACCGTTAAATGTCTTGGGGGCTACAGAGGAAAAAGTCTTAAGACATGAACATTTGTAGCAAAGGGGGGGGGTATATTGCCTTAAATTAAAAATTCGATTAAAATCATCGGTTTATCTATCTTTTTTTTGCAATTTTTTCATTTATTTTGTTCATATTCCAGTCCCCCAGCCCCCTTTTTCTTCTCACAAATACTTCAGATAATGAAAATATACAGCACAAATTTCAGCTAAAAGTTAATGAGGTGGAAGGGGCTTCAAAGCTCTCTCAAGAAAGTTTGGAAAATTCATTGTACAACGTTGCCTCTCTGAGAAACTCCCACGCTTCGAGTTTTAATCGGTAAATCTACTTTGACTCATTTTAAAATTTATTATTATTTTCCCTGTAATCATCATTTATCGCGTAATCCTCTCTCAGTACATGTTTTGGGTCAAATTTGCGGTATTACAGACAATGATTCTGTGTTTTTAGGTTATTGGAATTTTATTATCCCGAGAGCAGTAGCGAGGGTTACAGAGTCACCATAGCTCACTAAATCTTTAATTCTGGGAAAACTGATTTTTCGTTAGTAATGACCTTGTCAGTATCCTCTTATGACACTCTTCATGGGAACTAAAATATATTTGCCACAGATCTCCTGCTTTTTTTCGGGAGTGTCAAACGTTTTTTTACAATCTTAAGTTGTATTTGGGGTGACTAATTTCCTCACGCTACCACTTGTTCCAAAATATTTTCTATGAACAGGCCACATTTTCCCCCTGTGGATGACTTAGTGCAGGGGTACTCAACCTTTTTTCTGCTGGGCCGCATACATATGTTAGTTATTTCACGCGGGCAGCAACATGAAGATAAATGGGGGAGGGGGAGAGAAAGGCCTTAAGACCAAGATAGCATTGGAAATTTAAAATGTGGAAAATTTATCAAAATATTATAACTTCTGTTTTGCAGTTTTATAACTATTATTTTTTTTTATCAATAACACTAAATTAGAAGCATATAAGAAACAGTCTTTCACAATTTCCGTATCAGTAAACGGTTTCATATATTTACCGATAATATATGATATGATGAATGATTTCCGCCGTCGTGTAATCTAGTAAAAGTAAGCGCACAATTCAGTATCCTAATACCACTTCAATGTAAAAACAGTTCCTCACAATGAATCCTTGCCAATACCAGTACCAACAAAAACTTATACTCTAAAGCCGGAAACGAATTTGGAAAACTTTGAGCCCAAACTGAACCAATAATGTTCACCGATGATGATGATGAAGAGTATCCAGCTGATTTAGCTCATCCAAAACCTCACCTCGAATTGCGAATCGAATAATCTCATTCACGATTAGTACCTAAGAGTTAATCTAAACTTTTTGGATCTTGACTACAACAGAGGAATCTTTCAGGAATGGACGTAAAAATCTTTTTCTATAGGATCAGTTAGTAAGCACTAAATTACTTTTGGTGAAAGCTTAGTACTCTTCCCTAATTCAAATGAATAGATGATAGAACTGAATATACCATGTGACTCACACAAATAAAAACTGCTTATAGATTCGACTCACCTAACACAAACTTTAAGGTCATCGTATATGTCGAATTGTATGGGAATGATTGATTGATTATTAACGTCGCACTGTTCAGCTGCACGAGGGCTTTTGGCGACGGACCACGTAATTTTGAACCATGGTAAAGAGACGTGGACGACACCTGACCCTGGCACCCCCTCTCCAAATACCACCCCCAAGGGGGAGGACGTTTCAGCTCTCGACAGATTTAATGTGCATCGCTGCTCTACACGGAAGGGTCTTTGAGTGAACTGGACTCGAACTCGTGACAAGGGCAAAGCCACGGTTCGATACCTATAGCACTCGGCTACCGCGGCACAAAATGTATGGGAAGATACTGGTTGTTGTTCAACAGAGCCTAGTTCTTGCGTTAGGATAAAGGATTGCAATATCGGACCAAAAGTTCAATACCGGTATTCGGTATTTTTTAGATCTTAATACCGGGATACCGGTTTTAATACCGGTAGTAGAAATTTTAAAAAAAAAACACAGTTGTTTTTTTGTTTTATATTTGCCAGTTTTATTAGACAGTGTAAATATCATAAAAATAATGTGTAACTTATAAATTATAAGAGTATATATAAAGAATCACAAAAAAGTAAAAAGGAATGTCTTATTTATTTAAATCACAAAAAAGTGTAAATATCTTTATTCAGTCTGTGGTACTATTACAAATTTTTGGAATGTGATCTTAAAAAACATAATGCATCAATTGCATTGTCATTAAGCCTGAAACGTAATTTTGTGCAATAATTTCATCCAAATTACCTTTTTCTTCAAAATAATCTAAAATCCTTGGCTTTGGCTTAGAAACTGTGTTTAAATTTGTATCTTTATCGCAATTAGATTCTTTCTTCTTTAACAAATTTGTTTCATGTTTCGTTTTTAAATGCGTATGGAGTCCACTTGTACTTTCTCCATTCACTTTAATAACTCTTGAACATTTTTACATTGTGCCACCATTCTTTTCACATATAAATAATGAAACCAAACCGAAGTATTATCAACTGATTTTTTATGTTCTTTAAAGTTATTCTTATTCATTATTATGGGTTATTATTTATGAGTATTTATATATAATGAATCTGAAAAATATTTTGAACCCTAAAGTTTGATATGCAAATACAGTCTGAATAACAAACTCACCAATTTTAAAAATATTGAAATATTACGCACTTGCTTCCCAACTACGACCTTGTTTTCACAGATATGACTATGAGACTACGAATCCTGAGCGTGTGGAGTATCTCTCTGAGCTGCAATAGGATGGTTTTGGCCTGCCTCTTTGGATGATTCACATATTTTATCACCTCTTTTCATTGTACGATGCAATTATATTTACAGTCTAATGTAATTTCGCCCGTTAGGGTGACATAAAAACCAAAACGTATACTATTTTGCTATGTTAGCGATCCTGACATATAGTGGAGACAATTAAAAAATTCTAGTACATACCGAAAAACCGATATTTAAACTTGTGAATACCGGTATTACAAAATTGTACAAATGTCTCAAAATACCGGTACATTGGGTGTTTGGTTAATGAACAGATCGGTTAATGAACACTTTCACGAAAGATTTTTGTGTTCGGATAACGAACACTTTAAAGAAAATTTTTTTGTGTTTGGACAACGAATACATATTCGGATAACGAACAAAACAAATTCTAACGAACACTTCTCGGCTCTGAAAAAAATTAATAATAAACATTTGTTACCATTTTGCATAAAAAATAAGATCACTGAAAGGAGAAATGTTTAAAGCATGCTTAGTATTGATAATTACTAAATGAAACTGGAATTAACAATGAATTTAAAGGTCATTCAATAATTATTATTTTGACTAAAATCAATACACACTTGAATACTTGAATTTCAATATGAATATCAATATTTTATGACAGCCGATAAGTTATGGGCTGTTAAGTTATTTGTTGACATGGCAAATAAGTTAAGCGAATTTTTAATTTTTTCAAACAGTGCAGACTATAAAATATAACCGCCATAAAAATACGTGAAATATGAGAAACGGACTAAAAATCGTTTTTCATCTCTCATTATGTTGCTTACCTATTAAACTTCAAAGTTTTATTGAAAAAAAAATCCAGTAGAATATTCATACACATTAGTCCATCAGTTTCGGTTTTGATTTCATTTTTATGGGGTCTCCAGAACGAATTAATTGATTTCATATAGAAGTCTATGGTGAATCGATGATCGATTAACGAACAATTCGGATAGCGAACATAGTCTTGAACGGATTATGTTCGTTAACCAATCACCCACTGTATTCGGTATCCCGGTATTGTAATCTCTAGTTAGGATATTTGAAGTTACAGCATGATCAGTTGTTGCAAAGTGCACATCATGCCTGGATTTACCTTCGGTGATGCAACAAGGATTCTTCCTAACTTCTTGTCTGTCAAACCATCCCTCCTGTACTCAGTAATTTCATATTTGTATTGTTTTGTCTTGATTTGGTCTAGAATAAGCACCAATTTTTCTCAGAAATATAATCCACATCCTCTGTGAAAATTCTTTTTAGCAAAAAAAAATGTTTCACCGACCCCTTATCAGGGTTTTAAAGTACACGTAATGCTAATCATTTCCGTGTCTTTTCGAAGTCTACGTATTGAACAAATTTCACGCCTAATGGAAGCTTCCTTTATGATATTGCATTTAGAAAGACTAATATAGTTTTTATCACAAAACTGTTTT